AAAAAAAAAAAAATTGGCCGGGCGCGGTGGCTCACGCCTGTAATCCCAGCACTTTGGGAGGCCGAGGTGGGCGGATCACGAGGTCAGGAGATCGAGACCATCCTGGCAAACACGGTGAAACCCCTTCTCTACTAAAAACGCAAAAAAACTAGCCGGGCGTGGTGGCAGGCGCCTGTAGTCCCAGCTTCTCGGGAGGCTGAGGCAGGAGAATGGCGTGAGCCCAGGAGGCAGCAGAGCTTTCAGTGAGCGGAGATCGCGCCACTGCACTCCAGCCTGGGCGGCAGAGCGAGACTCTGTCTCAAAAAAAAAAAAAAAAAATGTTTTTCCAAAACATTTGGTATCTATTAAATTAGAGAAAAGATGTTCTGAAGCTCTTTCTACAGTACACAATTGTTCATTCAGTATTGAACATATTGGAAAATCAGATATAAGCCAGGATATACTAACAGCTAAGCCTAAGAGATACATGATTTCCTCAAATAGTGCTAAAGAAACGGATAAAGTAACAAATTTTCTGATGAAAGGAAATTCAGATAAAAATAAAACAACCATAGCCGAAATTATAATGACCTTCCACACTGTATATCACCATCATCAATCTTTTCAGCTCAAACGGCCAATTGGACACACCAAAAGTATTCCTGGTTCTAAAATTGCAAACGAATTTTCAAGGGCCAGGATAAAAGCCACAGTAATAAAAATGTAATCATTCTGTTTACTACTAGAGACTGTAAAAGATCTAAAATGTCTCTTTTTACAGTATAACCCCAGATGCAAATAATAACAATGAGAATTTTTTTTTTCCTGTGCGATGTTTATCTTTTGAAAAACTGTGCTTATAAAGTTATCTTATCCCTTCTAGATGAGACCTGGGAAATTGAAGTTTTTTGCAGAAACTCAATTAAGTCAAATTGTATTCCTTTGGTTGATATAATACAAATACAAATTTATGTAGATGTGTAGAAGTGCAAACAACTTTTTTTTTTTTTTTTTTTTTGAGACGAAGTCTCGCACTGTTACCCGAACTGGAGTGTAATGGCGCGATCTCGGCTAACTGCAACCTCCACCTCCTGGGTTCAAGCAATTCTTCTCCCTCAGCCTCCCAAGTAGCTGGGATTACAGGCACCCGCCACCATGCCCAGCTAATTTGTGTGTGTGTGTGTGTTTTTCGTAGAGATAGGGTTTTACCATGTTGGCCAGACTGGTCTCGAACTCCTGACCTCATGATCCACCCACCTCGGCCTCCCAAAGTGCTGGGATTACAGGCGTGAGCCACCGCGCCCAGCCAGAAGTGCAAACAATTGCTATTCAAAATTAAAGCAAAGCTTGGAGTACGCTGTAGAAGGTGTCCTGTCCATATTCTGCATTTCTGCATGATGCTACACAGACAACCTCTGATAGCCATTCTATTGACACTGAAGTCATCATGAAATTGTTTCCTGCCTCGGCATTTAAACTGTTTAAACTGAGCAGTTAAAGGATTTTTGTGATTCTGTTGTCATTCGATATTCTTCTATTCTTCAATTCTCTCTTTAATTCTCTTGCAGTCAGAAACTTGTTGGAACTCCCGGTTTCAACTACAACATGCAAACAGCTTGGAAGTCATCACCCCTATCCTTATAAGAAAAAAGCTAGTCAAGCTGAAAATCAGTGACTTTTATCTTTCCGAGAACTGAAGTCACGACCGTGAAATCTGGAGAGACGGGTGTATCCAGAGACAGAGGTCTGTTTACTTGGAGCCTACTGGAGCCATAAACTGGTCGGAAAACTAACAGGTAATTTTGATGAATTGCTGGAAGTTGAATATGGACTAAACTGAGAATGTGGAACTTCTCGGTCCATAGTCATAACGGGTCCCGCATACCGCTACTGCCATTAGCTCCAGGAGTCCCAGCAGATTCACCAGGTGATGATCTGAGAAATATCGCCTGAGGGCTGTGGCAGAAGAAGGGGAATCATTGTGAAATACACCCAGAGTCTTCTCCATAAAAGCCTACACTCCAGGGAAAAGAGTTTGCCAGAGTCTTATGCTAGCTGGAGGAAGGACGTTCCCCCACTCTCTCTGTCCTTCCTGTCTCACCTAAGGGAGAGGAAACTGTCAACATGGCTCAAGACTTTGAGGATTCCAGTAGATTGGAATCCTGCAACCAGGGGAGGGGAGGGAGGACAGGGCAAGGAGGCGAAGTTTTACCACTGGAGAACATTTGAGTAGGTCCAGCCCTTGGATACAGGAGTACTGACAGATTTTACTGGAAGATTATAGCATGCGTCCCGTCTGCCACCATCCCAACAGAGCCACAGTGCAACAGCGCTGGGTTATAGCAGACAGAGCCACAGACTGTCCCTGAGGGGGACCATTTGGGGAAACTCCGTCACAAGTGGAGACCAAAGCAAGGATACTAGAGGAATTTGAAGCCCCTGGCACCTATGAGTAGGTAATTTCTAGCCAAATTCATATAAATAAAGCAGCTAATGAAAATGATTACACATCATGAACTTCTGGGACTTATCCCAGAAGTCCAACGTTTGTTCAACATGTGAAAATCAACCACACCACATTTAATAGAATGGGTAGGGGGGACGTGTTTATCTTGATGCAGAAAAAGCATATCACAAAATGCAGCTAACTCTACACTTACACCAAGGTTGGGATTTCAGCACTTCCTGTTTCACTGGAAGCTCGGTGAAGTCGAAAACAATTCAGAAATCACGGATGTTCATTGGTGCAAAATAAGACAACCTCTTTTTTTTTCTTTTTTTTTTTTGAGACGGAGTCTCGCTCTGTTGCCCAGGCTGGAGTGCAGTGGCGTGATCTTGGCTCACTGCAAGCTCCGCCTCCCAGGTTCACGCCATTCTCCTGCCTCAGCCTCCCAAGTAGCGGGGACTACAGGCGCCCGCCACCTCACCCGGCTAATTTTTTGTATTTTTAGTGAAGACGGGGTTTCACCATGTTGGCCAGGATGGTCTGGATCTCCTGACCTCGTGATCCACCCGCCTCGGCCTCCCAAAGTGCTGGGTTTACAGGCGTGAGCCGCCGCACCTCAGCCAAGACAACCTCCTATTTTGCAGTTGGGGACACAGGGCCCAGAATCCTTCCAAATCCTTGTGCAAGTTGAAGGCAGTCACAACCCCACCCAGGTATCCAATCAAACCCTGGATTAGGTACCACCCTGAAGGGATTTGGCTGATGCCATCAAAGTCCCAAATCCTTAAGCTAATCAACAGGGAGTACATCTGGGGTGGACCTGATTCAATCAGGAGGGTGAGATATAAGTTCCCCTTTTTTGCAGGGGAAGACACCGGCACCCAGCGAGAGCAGAGGATGTGCTGGAGCTCACAGAGCAAGTGAAAGTGCTGAGACTCAGTCTCAGACTGTGTCATTGAAAAGCAAGGTTTTAGGCTGGATGTGGTGGCTCATGCCTGTAATCCCAGCACTCTGGGAGGCCAAGGCGGGCAGATCATGAGGTCAGGAGATCGAGACCATCCTGGCCAACATGGCAAAAGCCCATCTCTACTAAAAATACAGAAAGTAGCCAGTATTGCTGGCGCATGCCTGTAATCCAGCTACTGGGGATGCTGAGAAAGGAGAATTGCTTGAACTCGGGAGGCAGAGGCTGCAGTGAGCCGAGATTGTACCACTGCACTCCAGCCTGGGCGACAGAGAGAGACTCCATCTCAAAAAAAAAAAAAAGAACAAGAAAACCAAGGTCTTGATACCCAGCACCCACTGCAAGTCATGGCCTGTTCCCTGACTGGGGCTGGCTTCTGCCCTTTGGGCCTTGTGCTCTGCTCCTACGCAGCGATATCCACTGCCTGGAAACATGCCTGTGGCCCCTCTGTCTCCACTCTCCAGTCTCATCCCCTGTGCCTGCCCCTCCTTCCACAGCCGGGTTAAGAGTGCGTAAATTCTCTCTCTGCTCTCAACTTCTGTTTCATGACACTTTGTTGTTATCCCTAAAATATTATATTCCTTTGTCACTAAAACAATGACTCCTTATCTGCAAAAGCAACTCTTCTGGTTCTCATCCATAGCTCAGCAGACACTTCTGAGATTTCTGTAGACATCCACGATTTCTGACTTGCTTCCCAAATCTCTTCTGTTGACAATGATTTCTGCCCAGGAACCCTGATATCACTACGTACCCATTTGTTTTAGTCCATTTGGGCTACTACAATGTAATTCCACAAACTGGCTATGCTATAAAAACAAAAAGGTATTTCTCGCATTGTGGAGGTTGGGAAGTCCAAGAGGAGGCTGTGGTAGACTCGGTGTCTGATGAGGGCCCACTTTCTGGCTCACAGAAGGCGCCTTCTAGCTCCTTCTTTGGGTGGTGAAGGGGTTGCAAGCTCTCTTTGGACTCCTGTAAGGATCCTAATCCTATGCACGAGGGCTCCCCCTGATGACTCAGCTAGTCTTAATCACCTCCCGAGGGCCTCATGCCCTCACACCATCACATTAGGCTGTGGGGTTTCAACACATGAATGTTGGGGCACACAAGCATTCAGATGTGACACACTTAATTCCCAATTACTTTTCTCCAATGACTTCATTCCTTCCAGATCCCCTTGAATTCCAAAACTGTGGCTGTGTGAATTATTTGGGATTGGTATTGAAACAATTGGTGATTTTCTTTTAAATTTTTTTGGGGGGATATATGTGATAATTTACTACATTCATATAATTGGTAAAAATTAGATCAGTATAGTTGGGATATCATCAATCACCTTAAATATTTGTCTTTTCTTTTTTTTTTTTGAGACAGAGTTTTGCTCTGTCACCCAGGTTGGAGTGCAGTGGCGCGACCTCAGCTCACAGCAACCTCCGCCTCCCAGGTTCAAGTGATTCTCCTGCCTCAGCCTCCCGAGTAGCTGGGACTACAGGTACACACCACCACGCCCAACTAATTTTTGTATTTTTAGTAGAGATGGGGTTTCACCATGTTGGCCAGGATGGTCTCCATCTCTTGACCTCATGATCCACCTGCCTTGGCCTCCCAAAGTGCTGGAATTACAGGCATGAGCCACTGTGCCCAGCCAAATATTTGTCTTTTCTTTATGGTCGAGACTGTCAAATTACTCTCTCCTAGCTATTTTGAAATATACAATAGATTATTGTAAACTATGGTCACCCTACTGATGTATCAAACACTAGGTCTTATTTCTTTATCGAACTGTATATTGGGACCCATTAATCAATCTCTCGTCTCTCATAATGTTGAAAATAGAAGCAGCTCTAAACCATGGTGAAATCCACTCCCTTTATAAGGTATATACTGCACCATTAGACTTGAACATTGCAGGCTTTGCCCTAGAGAGGGGCCCTAGAAAGAATCCTGGGCTAGAATGGAGGACCAAGTCTCCTCAGGGTTTTCTCTCCTGTGTTCCAGCTCACGCTTGTGAAGGGAGTGACTTCTGTAAGCCCAGTGCATCACACTGTGGGGCAGGTGAAGCACCCTGACACGGGACCTTGCCTGTGGACGCCCTCTGCACACCTGCCCACAGGGCTTGCCACGCGAGCGTGCCCAGGCCTCACTCCTGCTACTCCTCAGCAACGGGTGGACAAAGCAGCAGCCCTGAGGACCTGTCCTGGCCTCTCCTGTTCTGAGTGGACACGGCCTCTCCCTCAAGGCTGAGATCCAGAGAGGAAGATGATGTCCTCATGGAATCTGTTCTCTCAGGTGCTCTCTCCTGCGTCTTTGGCATGGGGAGGGCTGGGCTCTGTCTGCACAGTGGAATCACCCTGTGTGTTTGTCTCCATGACTTCTCTCTTCTCTGACCTCTCAGCTACTACTTCAGACCCTCTTGATACCATTTAGGTGGAAATTTACATGGGCCGGGCACAGTGGCTCATGTCTGTAATCCCAGCACTTTGGGAGGCTGAGGCGGGCAGATCACGAAGTCAGGAGGTCAAGACCAGCCTGGCCAACATGGTGAAACCCCATCTCTACTAAAAAATACAAAAATTAGCTGGGTGTGGTCGCAGGCGCCTGTTATCCCAGCTACTCGGGAGGCCGAGGCAGAAGAATTGCTTGAACCCGGGAGGCGGAGGTTGCAGTGAACCGAGATGGCGCCACTGCACTCCAGTCTGAGCAACAGAGAGAGACTCCGTCTTGAAAACAAAGAAAAATTTCCTGGGTGTGGTGGCTCACACCTGTATTCCCAGCCCTTTGGGAGGCTGAGGCAGGCGGATCATGAGGTCAGGAGTTCAAGACCAGCCTGGCCAATATGGTGAAAGCCCATCTCTACTAAAACTACAAAAATTAGCCGGGTGTGGTGGCGTGTGCCTGTAGTCCCAGTTACTTGGGAGGCTGAGGTCGAAAAATTACCTGAATCCAGGAGGCGGAGGTTGCAGTGAGCTGAGATCATTCCACTGCACTCCAGCCTGGGCGACAGAGCGAGACTCCATGTCAAAAAAAGAAAGAAAGAAAGAAAGAAAAAAGAAGGAAGGAAGGAAGGAAGGAAGGAAGGAGGGAGGGAGGGAGGGAGGGAGGGAGGGAGGGAGGGAAGGAAGGAAGGAAGGAGTGCCATGTATTCTCTCCCAACATTTCTTTCAAACTCCCTTGTTGCATGACACTTAATCTCTCTTAGATCAATTTCCCTTTGTCATTAGGGAACCTGAAAAGACTCCATTTTGATTTGCAAATAAAAAACTTCCTTGGTACATCAGAAACTACTACTGGCTCACCCTGTCCTGTTTCTTTTCTTTCTTTCTTTCTTTTTTTTTATTATTATTAATCCAAGGAGGTTCTTTGCAATTTTTATTAGTTTAAAAAATATTTGGCCAGGTGCAGTGGCTCACGCCTGTAATCTCAGGACTTTGGGAGGCTGAGGTGGGCGGATCACCTGAGGTTGGGAGTTCGAGACCAGCCTGACCAACATGGAGAAACCCCGTCTCTACTAAAAATACAAAATTAGTTGGGCATGGTGGTGCATGCCTGTAATCCCAGCGACTCTGGAGGCTGAGGTTGAACCCAGGAGGTGGAGGTTCCGGTGAGCCAAGAACGCACCATCGCACTCCAGCATAGACAACAAGAGCGGAAACTCGGTCTCAAAAAAATATATTTTAATAATAAATATATGTCTATAAATATGTAATACATAAATAGGTATATTTATGTATTTAAATATATATAAATAGATGTATTTATGTATTTAAATAAATAGATATATTTATGTATTTAAATATATATATATTTTTTTTGAGATGGAGTTTCAGTCTGTCACCCAGGCTGGAGTACAGTGGCGTGATCTTGTCTCATTGCAACCTCCACCTCCCAGGTTCAAGAGATTCTCCTACCTCAGACTCCCAAGTAGCTGGGATTACCTGCATGTACCACCACACTAATTAAAAATATATATATATTTTAAAACTAATCCAGGGAAGCCTGTCCAGTGTCTGACCCGTGCAGATCTTCCTTCATGCAGACACACCCCATTACCTTACACTTCCGTTACTTTCAGTCACTCCCCCAGTATTCTACCCTGTTGCTCTTCTAGTTTCCAAAAATCCAGCCAAAATTCATCATATATTAATTTTTTACACTGAAACATTGAAACAGTATCCCCTAAATTAGATGATTTTCCCAAATGTTTAAAACTGAACACCTGGCCGGGCATGGTGGCTCATGCCTGTAATCCCAGCACTTTGGGAGGCCGAGGCAGGTGGATCATGAGGTCAGGAGATCGAGACCATCTGGCTATGAAACCCCATCTCTACTAAAAAAAAATACAAAAAAATTAGCCAGGCGTGATGGTGGGCACCTGCAGTCCCAGTTACTTGGGAGGCTGAGGTAGGAGAATGGTGTGAACCTGGAAGGCGGAGCTTGCAGTGATCACGCCACTGCACTCCAACCTGGGCGACAGAGCGAGATTCTGTCTTAAAAAAAAAAAAAGCAAAAAACAGAAAACAAAAAAACTGAACACCCATGTTTCCTCACCCTTGAAAAGACAAGCAGCCCTGAAAATGTGTGAAAACCGTTTCTTTTAAATTCACGCCCTCCTGTCTAATACATCTCAAAGCCCAAGAAGGCTTTCCTAAGTCAGGCCCCAATCTCCTGCCCTGGGCCCCAGAACCGCCGTGGCACTTCCATCTGTCGTCGGAAATAAAACGGTCCCTGGCCTTCCAAGTCTCTTCAAGCTCAGCCTCTCAGCCCGGATTGTGCATCAGACCCACCTGGGACCCTCCGAGCTCCTGGTGCTCAGGATCAACCTGGATGGCCACACTGGAATCTCTGAGAAGGGACTCTCAGGGTGGTCACACCCTCTCTTTGGAGTGCTAGCCTGAAGCCTGGGCAGTTCTAATCTAATCTCCCACCTCCCAGGGGCCCAGTGAGGTGGGGCAGGACCAAGGTGGGCCCTGGACTCAGTGTAGTTCATGGCAAAGCCCATGGCACTCCTTTAAGGCAAAGAGCTCATGCTTGACTAGTGTTAGAACCACCAGAGGACTTTTCACCACACAGTGACCAGCCCAGGATAACTGAATTTGTACGACTGGAATTGGCCTTTGAGAAAGTCTTCCAGCGGATTCCATCGTAGAGTCAGGGCTGGGAAGCTGTCCTTTCACGGGATTCACCTGTAGACACGATCCACAATTTCACTGAATGCATAGGCCAGTGGGAGAGCTAGACTTGACCAGGGAGTTGTGTTGAAATGTACTGTGTCCAAGTTGAGGACAGCATGGTGAGGCAGCGCCTGTGAGGAGTGCCGGGGTTGGAGAAGGCCTCCATGCCCAGGGCGACGGGGGCCTGCAGGAGGAGCGGGCCTGCTGGGTGACTGGTGATGGGAGCAGAGCAACAAGCAGAAGCAGCAAAGGCCCAAGGCCACACAGTGCCCAGCGTGTTCAGGAAATGGGAGAAGCCTGGAGCCCGGACAGAGAAAATCAGCTTGATCTGAAGCTGCCCCACGGCCATGGAATGAAGAATGTCTGCCCTGAAAAGTCACAGAAACAGGCTTGGGTGCAGACCGAGGACAAGATAAGCAGGGTCCCCATTAGAATGCAACAGCTGTGGCCCGTGGAAGGAACCTTGACGCCTGCACTATTTTAATTTCAGCATGAATAAAAAGTCAGTTAATGGTACTTATTTAGAAAATAGGGTATCAGGCTGGTTGCGATGGCTCATGCCTGTAATTCCAGCATTTTGGGAGGCCAAGGTGGGTGGATCACCTGAGGCCAGGAGTTCAAGACCAGCCTGACCAACACGGTGAAACCTGTCTCTACTAGAAATACAAGATAAGCCCGGTGTGGAGGCACACGCCTGTAATCCCAGCTACTTGGGCGGCTGAGGCAGGAGAATTGCTTGACACCAGGAGGCAGAGGTTGCAGTGAGCTGAGATTGCACCACTGTACTCCAGCTTGGGTGAGAGAGTGAGACTCTATCAGAAAAAAAAAAAAAAAGAAGGAATGAAAATCGGCTACCAATCATTTCTGATTGAGAAGAAGCTGTCATTGGGAATAAAGAATTCAGGAATTATTTCTGCACTTCTGTTTTTGAAACAGCCTGGATGCAGTTGCTATTTATACCAAGGCAGAAACCCTGAAGATGAGTTGAATGGGAGGTGATGCTGGGGGTGAATACGCTGAGTGGAGGCTCCTGCTAGATGTAGAGCTGAGATGCCTAAAGTTCCTATTTGCCTCCAACAAGACAGAAGGCTCAAGCCTGGAGAAAAAGATGATGTTCATTAACATTTGGGGGAGAGGAAGGAATAACTTGGTCAGATTTTTGTCTCAGATGGTCCCTGAGGCAGAGTGGGGGTGTATTGGACAGGCCCAAAGTGGGAAGCATAGGGAACAGTTTCCGGGCCATATGGGCATCCGGAAACAGAGGCCTGAAATGTCTGTGGAAATGAAGAAAATGTGATATTTTTAGACAACATGGAAAAGCAAAGATTAGTCTTAAGCCAATACACGTGGAGTTTGTTCTGACTTAACAGGGTACCACTAGGTTGAGCATGGTGGCTCACACCTGCAATCTCAGCACTTTGGGAGGCCGAGGCAGGAGGATTGCTTGAAATGAAGAGTTCACAACCAGCCTGAGCAACGTAGTGAGACCCTGTCTCTTCAAAAAAAAAAAAAAAAAGCCAAGCATGGTGGCACAAGCACCTGTAGTAATCCTAGCTACTTGAGAGACTGAGGCAGTAGGATCACTTGCCCAGGAGTTTGAGGCTGCAGTGAGCTGTGATCATGCCACTGCACCTCAGACTGGGCAGCAGAGCAAGACCCTGCCCCTAAAAATAAAACATGGGTAGAAATAAAGTACCAATCACTGTAAAGCCCCCTTTCCTGTCTTCTCAGACGCTATCATGAACTAAAAGCCATGAATCAGGATTGTGTCGAATAGAGTGGAATCAATCCCAAGAGTTAAGATTTATTCTGAGGGGCATCCCTAATCCTGGACTGCATCTGAGATTCTGAAGCCAAAAAACAACCTAGGAGTTGTTTCCCTCCCATGCTGGGTACTCAGCACCCTCCCTCTCGGTCCCCACCATCACTTACTTTCCCAAACTATTAACCACCCTCCAATATCCCTCTCTGCTTCCTCACTTCTGTATATGCACATCTCAAGTCTGTCCTCTTGTCAGGAGAAAGCTCTGTTTGCCTCTCTCCTCCCTACCCTAAACTCCTTTTCAATCTAAGCTTCTCAGAGAGGGTCCCACATCCATAACTGCCATCCATGACCATCCATTCACCCTCACCCAGCTGAAGCCCAGTCTCTTCCCCGAATCCTCACATCACAGTTAATCCTCAGAGGCCAAACCCTAAGGACGTCGCTGACCATCAGCGCCAGCTCAGGGGGAAGGGGTGATCTGTGGGAATGTAACAACCCGTCCCTTTGCCTTTGGAGATGCTGGGCTCAGAGACCCTTAGAACCCCTGCCGAGCTGATCTCCAATCTCCCTGTCTCAGTTATTCAATCATATTCTAGTCTGGATGAAGGGATTTTGCAGATGTGATTAAAGTACTAAATTAGTTGATCTTTAGTTAATCCAAAGTCTCAAGGTTGGGTGGGTCTAACCCAATCACATTTAAGATATTTAAACATGGTCGATCTGCACTGGCTTCAGAGACCTCCAGAAGCAGAGAGAAGCACACACGTTTCCACACTCCGGCTCCCCCTGACTCTCCTAGGTTCGGTCAGCGGAGACTAAGTACCAGTGTTCCGCCAACCCAGGAACAGAGCAGGCCCTGCAGGCGCAGCGAGAAGACAGATTCCCCGGAGAGCACTCAGGAGGAAAAATGGAGGTAACTTTAAGGCAGCCCGATGCCTGTTTCGTGGGAGGGTGGCTGGGGTTGTCTTTCATTTCATCTCACAAGAATTTTTGCAGCCATTGAAATGTACGCTGTTCCTTTTTATTTTATTTATTTATTTTTTGAGACGGAGTCTCGCTCTGTCGCCCAGGCTGGAGTGCAGTGGTGCGATCTCAGCTCACTGCAAACTCCCAGCTCCCGGGTTCACGCCATTCTCCTGACTCAGCCTCCCGAGCAGCTGGGACTACAGGCGCCGCCACCACGCCCGGCTCATTTTTTTTTTGTATTTTCAGTAGAGACAGGGTTTCAAAGTGTGTTAGCCAGGATGGGTCTGGATCTCCTAACATGATCCACCCGCCTTGGCCTCCCAAAGTGCTGGGATTACAGGCATGAGCCATCTTACCCTCGCAGGTGCCCGCTTCCTCTGTATGCTCAGCCACAGGCGTTCTCTAGTAGCTGTTTTGAAGTCTAGCTCCACTGATTCCACCATCTGTGTCATTTCTTGGTCTCTTGATGGATTTTCTACCAGTGGTGAATTGTGTTTCTCTGTTTTGTTGTATGCCGAGCCATTGAAGGTAGGAGGCCAGCCCTGTGCATTTTACGTGATTAGGTGCCAAATACTTCGTGTTCTTTTAACTAATGTTGGGCTTTTGTTTGTCATGCAGTTAAATTATTTGGAATTAGACTGATGCTTTGGGGGATCGTTTTGAATCTTTGTTAGTTGGTATGAGAAGAAACTTCAGTCTGTGGGTAATTTGACCCCACTGCTGAGGCCCTGCTCTCCTAGCACTCTCTTCAAAGGCCCTTGGACTAGGCAGACTTTTCACTCCAGCTGTGGAGACTCAGATTCTCCATCGCCCAGAGTGACCCCAGGAATTTTTCAGCCTGGTCCTTTCTCGCGGTGCTTTCCCAGCCCAGGCAGTTTCGTCTCATTCATGCTCTGATCTCTGCTTGGACGGGGGACTTCCCAGTAGATCCACAGAGCTCGCTGTCTTCCCTCTCTCCACCCTCTCCCCAGTACTGCTTCTGTGTCCTATACTTGCCACTGTGAGGTCCAGCAGACTCTCCTGAAGTTCTCAGCTCAGGAGAACACATACGCTCTGCTTGATTTCCCTCTCCCTGCTCTCCAGCCTGGAAACTGGATGCAGGTTTGAGCTGGGTACTTGTAGGAGCCCCAAGTCTTGTTTCCTGCCTTCACTCCATTGCCCCATGCGCCCTTTTCCAGTGTCTAAAACCCCTGGGTTCATGTTGTTCGTCTGGCAGTTTACTTTTTAAATACAAGGGGAGCCAGTCGCAGTGGCTCACGCCTGTAATCCCAGCACTTTGGGAGACCAAGACAGGCCGAGACAGGCGGATCACTTGAGGTCAGGGGTTCGAGACCAGCCTGACTAACATGGTGAAACCCCGTCTCTACTAAAGAAACACAAAACATTAGCCAGGTGTGGTGGTGCGTGCCTGCAATCCCAGCTACTTGGGAGGATGAAGCAGGAGAAGCACTTGAACCCAGGAGGCAGAAGTTGCAGTGAGCTGAGATTACACCACTGCCCTCCAGCCTGGTGACAGAGCAAGACTCTGTCTCAAAAAAAAAAAAAAAAGATATTCTAATATGTAAATATTTATCTTTTGTATTATTATTATTATTAGAAAGTAACACTTCCCACCGAAACTACCAGAAACATCCAGAAAATGAAGCAGAAAAATGCAGCCCAGGAATCAGAAAAGGCCTCAGGTATGGGGTCCTCAGAGTCTTATATGTAGTAGAGAAAATTTTCCAGCCCACCTCCGTCTTCTCGAGTCTGATATGCTCATCCCAGCCCCAAGAGGGGGAATCTCAGGGGATTCCAGGGCTGCCCTCAGCATCCCCCAAGCTCCCTGCCCACAGCTCAGGTGACAGTGAGAGGCCCCGCAGGGGTGGGATGTGAGTCCCACATCAGAGGAGCGCTCCCAGGCAGCAAATACGCCGTCACACCCTGTCAGTATCCTCTGAGACATTTTAAGGAAGTTGAGCAAGACCCAGGCTCTCAGGTGCCTCCTTGCCTGTCCCAGTGACCGGATGTGTCAGGCATCAGGACTTAGGCAGATACCGAATCTCTCACCTCTCCTTTGAGGTCCTATTATCTCCCGTAACTGAATAAAGTCAAGTTCGGACCTGTCCGTGTAGAGGCAGCATCTTGCACGTGTGCAGGTGAGTTATGCCAAAGTACATCCATATTCCTCTTTCCTTCCAGTCCGGTCAATTAAACCTTGGAGTGACCAGGAAATCCAGAGTTTCCTGCAAGAATGGGAATTTCTTGAACGGGAAGTGTACAGGGTGAAGAAGAAGTACCACGTAGTATCAAAAACAATTGCCCAGCGTCTCAAGCAGAGAGGTATGAAGAAGAGCTGGCAGGAATGTCTCCAGATGCTAATAAGCTTGCAGGACTTATACTTCACTATTCAGGAGGCCAACCAGAGGCCAAGGTGCCTACCCTTGCCATGTCCTTATGGCGAGGCCCTGCACAGGATTCTGGGATACAGATGGAAAATCGGTGTCTTCTCAGGTTTGTGTGTTTTGTATTCATCTTCATAGTCCTTTAGTGACTGCCATTGGCTTCCCCCACCCCACCCCCACCATCCTTGTGCCCTGAGTAGAGCAGAGAATGACGAGACAGGCCCCTGCCCAGAGCCCCTGGCACACAGCACAGGGGACTTGTTGCTCTGATGGGCTGCCTGCCTCTATTTTTCCTTTTTGTTCTTCCCCAAAGTAATAATGCTGAGGACTTTGTTCAGGGACTTGTTCAGAATGGACATGGCCCTGGGGCTGGGTGAGGTCACAGGCAAGGATTCAGGTACAGGGTGGGTGATGCCTTCACGAGCCCTCCATGTGTCTTCTGTCTCTCTCAGGTCCTCCCTGTGCAGATGCGGTTGACCTCGTACCTCCTGAGCACCAGCCCCAGGCCTGTGGCATTCCCATAGCCGTTCAGGAGCCGACGTGGGCCCCGACACCTGTGATCTATGTGGGAAATCCTCCGGTACCCGAATGGGAGCCCTGGAACACGAATAGTCATGCTCCATATATGAATCCTGCTTTTCCCCCAGCAGCCCCAGGCCCCCTACCACAGTGGGCCATCTCTACTGACTGATCCAGATCTTGAAGACAATTAGAATCTGGATCCCGATTCTTCAGAAAGACTGAAAAGTAGCACAATCTGTGTGTGTTAGTGCATGACTCCTTCCCCTCCTCACCTGGTGCAATGAGAATAAATGTGAAATAAATGATCGACCGTGACCTCATCCCTTTCTGGCTCGTGCTTGTGGCTTGGGTTGAACCTCCAATTGTAGAGACCATGGGACAGGGAGGGGGCTCAGCCCCCCGGTGACCTGGGACCCATCCTTTCATTCCTGCATCATGCTTCCTGCATGGAAGCCCCTTTGTAGTAAGGGACAACTTTTACCCCAGAGGTAACTGCTCAATCCTGCCTTCATTTCCTGGCTGTGTGACCACAGAAACCTTTTTTTTTTTTTTTTTTTTGAGATGGAGTCTCACTTTGTTGCCCAGGCTGGAGTGCAGTGGTGTAATCTCCGCTCACTGCAACCTCCACCTCCTGGATTCAAGCAATTCGCTGCCTCAGCCTCCCACGTAGCCAGGATTACAGGCGCCCGCTACCATGCCCAGCTAATTTTTGTATTTTTAGTAGAAACGGAGTTTCACCATCTTGGCCAGGCTGCTCTTGAACTCCTGACCTCAGGTGATCCACTCCCCTTGGCCTCACAAAATGCTGGGATTACAGGCGTGAGCCACTGCGCCCAGCCAGAACTTTTATTTCATGTTTCTGAGCCCCCAGATCCTCATATTAAAATTGAAGCTGATATCTTACTTCAGGAGAGAGTTTTTGGGAAAAAACACATACCTGGCATAATCACTCTGTGTTACGTTCATTTTCCCACATTTCTCGGTGGTCTCATTGAGAAGTGAAGCCAGCTGGCTTCTGGGTGGGGTGGGGACTTGTAGAACTTTTCTGTCTAGTGAGAGGAGTGTAAATGCACCAATCAGTGCTCTGTGTCTAGCTAGAGGATTGTAAATGCACCAATCAGCACTCTGTAAAATGGACCAATCAGCAGGACATGGGCGGGGCCAAATAAGGAAATAAAAGCTGGCCGCCCCAGCCAGCAGTGGCAACCTGATCACATCCTCTTCGATGTTGTGGGAGCTTTGTTCTTTCTTTGTTCTCCACATTGGGGTCTGCACCACCTTTAAGAGCTGTAACACTCGCCGTGAAGGTCCGTGGCTTCATTCTTGAAGTCTGTGAGACCAAGAACCTACCGGAAGGAGAAACTCTGGACATATCTGAAGGAACAAACTCCAGCCACACCATCTTTAAGAGCTGTGACGCTCACCACAAAGGTATGCGGCTTCATTCTTGAAGTCAGCCAGACCAAGAACCCACCAGAAGGAATACATTCTGGACACATTGTTATTATATTTTTTTGAGACGGAGTCTAGCTCTTGTCCCAGGCTGGAGTAGGGTGGCACAATCTCGGCTCACCGCAATCTCTGCCACCTGGGTTCAAGCGATTCTCCTGCCACAGCCTCTCAAGTAGCTGGAATCATGCACCACCACATCTGGCTAACTTTTTGTATTTGTTAATACATGGAGACGGGGTTTCTCCATGTTGGTCAGGCTGGTCTGGAACTCCCGACATCAGGTGATCTGCCGGCCTCCGCCTCCCAAAGGGCTGGGATTACAGACGTGAGCTACGCACCCAGCCCGTGGTCTTATTTTTTTAGGAAACATGATTTTGAGATAATTACAGTTTTACATGCAGTTGTAACAACTAGTAGAGAGGGATTAGAGAGACCCCTCAGGCCCTGTGTCCAGGTTCCCGCAGCGGTAACAGCCAGAAAGCACAATATCATAACCAGGATATTGACATCCATACAGTCAAGAGGGTCAGCAGAAGAAACCGTCTCACTGCCCTTTATGAGGGACATGCACGTCCCTCCTGCCCTCAGCCCCTGCCTAACTCCTGGCAACCCCTGAAATACTCTTCCTTTTAATAAGTTTGTTATTTCAACAGTGTTATATAAATGGGATTGTACGGTATGTAGCTTTTTGGGAATAGTTTTTTTCAGTTACTCATTAGAGATTCCTCCAGGTTGTTGCATGGATCAATGTTCATTCCTTTTTCTTGCCGTGTAGTGTTCCACTGTGTGGATGTACCAGATTAAACCATTTGCCCATTGAATGACATCCAGGCTGTTTCCAGTTTGGACTATTGTGAATAAAGCTGCTATAAACCTCCAGATACAAGTTTTGTGTAAACTGAAGACTTCCTTTGGGATAAACACCCAGGGGTACAATTTCCGGGTGTATAATATTGCATGTGTAATTTTTTTTTTTTTTTGAGACGGAGTCTCGCTCTGTCACCCAGGCTAGAGTGCAGTGGTGCAATCTCAGCTCACTGCAACCTCTGCCTCTGGGGTTCAAGCGACTCTCCTGCCTCAGCCTCGACAGTAGCTGGGATTATAGGCGCCTGCCACCATACCTAGCTAACTTTTGTATTTTTAGTAGAGACAGGGTTTCTGCATATTGGCCAGGCTGGTCTCGAACTCTTGACCTCAGGTGATCCACACACCTTGGCCTCCCAAAGTGCTGGGATTGCATGCATGAGCCACCGTGCCTGGCCTAATTTGTTTGTTTGTTTGTTTGTTTACCGGATGGCTGTGTCATTCTACACCCCCACCAGCAATGTATGAGTGAAACAGTTTCTCCACATCCTCACCAGCATTTTGTTTTGTCACTGTTCATGAAAAGGCGAATAGAATGGCCTTCAGAGTGTCCAGCACAGAGGGCCTGAGCAGAGCTCGGAATGATGGGACTGGCCTCTGCCCAGGGCCCCTCTGTAGAGCATCACAAACAGTGATACCTAATTACGGCTTCCATTTTCAGTTCCCTAGCGGCTGGTGATACGGAACATGTTGTATGCTTATTTGCCATCTGTGTATCCTCTGCAGTGACATGGCTCTTCATGGTTTTGACCATTTTCTAATTGGATTTTTGTTTTTATTGTTATTATTTGAGTTTTTTATATATTCTAGTTTTAAGGGATATGGGTTTCACAGATGTTTTCTCCCTGTTTGTAGCTTGTCTTTTCATGCTCTTCTTACGGGCTTTCACAAAGAAAAGACTTTATGAGGTACAATTTATCAAAATTTTAATGGGTAGTGCTTTGGGTGGCAAATCTAAGAACTCTTTCATTAGTCCTAGATCCTGAAGACTTTTTCCTATATTTTTCTAAAAGTGTTACAGTTTTACATTTTGCATTTAAGTCCCTGGTATGTTTGAGTTAAATCGTGATTAAAGTTTGTGAAGTTTAGGTTAAGGTTCATTTTGTGTGTATGTGCCTGTGAATGTCCAGTTGCTCCAGTACTATTTTCTGAAGAGGCTGTCTTTTCTGCATTGAATTGGTTTTGCATTTATGTAACAAACTGGGTGGGCATATTTGTGTGGTTGTTGTCATGGGTTCTGTACCTTGTTCCATTGGTCTACACTCTGCTAATACCACACACCCTTGCTTACTATAGCTGTATAAGTTGTTAAATCCTATAAATTAATTCTTCCTACTTTGTTCTTTGATTGATTTTTCAAACATTGAACCAGTCTGGAGTACTTCAATTGTTCATCATATAATTTTTTCATCTATTATTGACTTATTTTTAGTAATGTTTTATTAATGATTTCTGCATCAGTATTCAAGAAAGATGCTGTTTTACAGTGTTGTTATACTGTCTTTTTCTGGTTTTGGTATCAGGATAACACGAGCTTCATAAAGTAAATTTGCAAGTGAAATAAGCTAGCCACAGGAAGATAAATACTGCATGATCTCACTTTTACTTATAGAAGACAGTAGAATGGTGGTTGCCAGGGCTGGAGGGAGGGAGAAATGGGGAAATGGGGAGATGCTGGTCATCAGTGTAAAGTTTCCATTACTCAAGATGAATAAGATCTGGAGATGGAATGTACAGCCTGGTGACTCTAGTTAACACTATTGTATTTTATACCTGAAATGTGTTTAGAGAGTAGATCGTAAGTGTTCTCGTCTTACACACACACACAGAGGTTAACTATGTGAGGCAATAAATATGTTAACTGACTTGACTGTGGTGCCCATTGCACAATATATACATATATTAAAAAATCAAGTTTTAAAATCGATACTTTGTTTGAGACGGAGTCTCGCTCTGTCACCCAGGCTGAAGTGCAGTGGTGTGATCTCAGCTCACTACAACCTCTGCCTCCCGGGTTCAAGCGATTCTCCTGCCTCAGCCTCCCAGGTAGCTGGGACTACAGGCACATATCACCATGCCTGGCTAATGTTTTGTATTTTTAGTAGAGATGGGGTTTCACTGTGTTAGCCAAGATGGTCTCGATCTCCTGACCTCGTGATCCACCTGCCTCAGTCTCCCAAAGTGCTGTGGTTACAGGTGTGAGCCACTGCGCCCAGACAATTCATACCATTTTTATCTGTCAATTATACTTGAATAAAGCTGAATAAAAAGACTACAGTCATCATTATGGATGCTGGTAAAAACAAAACAAAATTCTTTTGGTTAAGCTATTTTTTTGCTATGCACAAAGATAAAATTGGACACAGAAAACCAAGCTAACTAAACTAAATATCTAAAGCTATAGAAAGGCCACTGCACTCCAGCCTGGGTGACAGAGCAAGACTCCATCTAAAGAAAAAAAAAAAAAAAGTGCTTCTGTAAATAGAGAAGAGAGAATAAAGCCTTAGAGATTTAACTATATGCAGAAATCCAAAGACAAAAATCAAACATTGCAGAAGGATACTTCTGCTTGGATTATTTCCTTCAAACTTGGAAACACAGATTCAGAAGACATCCTTCTGTTGATAAAATAGTGCCAATCAACACAGACACTGACAAGGCTGACCTCAATGATCAGGATAAAGAAGATGATGAAATGTTAATTCAACTTGAAGAAACCTGGGGAATTTAAGTATCCAGAAATAAGCCTATTTGTACCTGAAGCTATTGATACCACATACATGTCTAAAAATTGTTCCGCAATTAAAATGAAAAGTTTAAAAGTATTCGTGTCAAAGTCATACATATTTCTTTTTTTTTTTTTTTTTTGAGACGGAGTCTCGCTCTGTGGCCCAGGCTGGAGTGCAGTGGCGCGATCTCGGCTCACTGCAAGCTCCGCCTCCCGGGTTCCCGCCATTCTCCTGCCTCAGCCTCCTGAGTAGCTGGGACTAC